ACTTTATAGTACCTTATAAAGTTGCTACGGATAGTGGATTAGTATCTGACTCATGTTTCAGGGCTGAGACTAAAGACAGATTATTCACATCTGAAAAGTAACAGAGGTATATATACTATTTAAAGATATAAAACTAATAAAGGAATGTCAGCACATAAACTAGCTGAGTACAGAGATTAGGGACATGATGAGGGAAAGTGGAAACCTATCAGACATTTTCATAAGGATGTGAAATACCAAAGAAAATAAACATGCAAATGACAAACTGAAAAATATTTGTGGCATATAACACAGATCCCTAACAAATAAAGTACTTCTTAAAAATTGAGGGGGGTGGGGGGGAACAGCCCAAGGAGAACCTGCGCAAGGATGAGAAAAGATTAAAGCAAATTCAAAACACAGAAATTACATAGAACAAATAACCCGATTTCCTTAACAAATAAACAGGGAGGAAAGGGGAGGAAAGGGATGGTTATCAATCAAAAGAAGGTCAAGAGATATAAACCAAATACAATGGGTCCATTTTTTTAAAGCCTAATTCAAACAAATAAAAAGATACTTGAATATGGGTTGAATGTTAAAGGAATCATTGTTCATGTTAGTACATAAGATGGTACTGTAGAGTGTTTTAAAAATCTTATCTGTTGGGGCCCTCCCTGGTGGCGCAGCGGGTTAAAGCACTGCACTAAGAAGCTAAAGCCACTTCCGCATGAGTTCGATCCCCACCTGCCCCGGAGGTGACCACATGGCGCGGCAGACCTCTCCTGACCCGCCCGCTGCTCCCCTCAGCAGTGTACTTCGTCCACCTGCCTGTTCTGCTCTCCATCTGTCCCTGGTGAATCCTCTCACCCTCTGCATCTCTGGCCTGTACCCCAGTTCTGTATGCATAAATAAATCTTTAAAAAAAAATCTTATCTGTTGGAGAAATACTCTGAATTATGAAAGGGTGAATTGATTTGATATCTGAGATTTGATTTAAAATATCCCATGGAGATTATATGAAAACAAATGGGTAAATGGAACAAAAAAGTTGGTAGGTTATGAATCCAGAACCAAGTTTATGGGAGTTCACGGTATCTCCTTTTCTGTGAGTTTTAAACATGTAATTGTGTACCTTCAGATCAACAGTTCTAAATGTCCTATATGGCAATGCAATTATACATGTCCTTAAATGAGATAGATCATAAATATCACAATTACTGTAGTTACCACTGAAATGTAATTCTCTTTTGTTTTTACTTTACTAGAACTACTTCTTTTATAAACTGAAGATTTAAAATAAGGCCTACAAACAGCCCTGTGACAAGGATTTTAAATTTTTTTGGAGGGGGTTCGCTTGCTTGTTTTAATCTTGAGCTGATTTGACTCTAAACTGACTGTAGAGAGACAATGGTTAAAAGAGAATCGGGGCCCTCCCTGGTGGTGCAGCGGGTTAAAGCACAGCACTGAGAATCTAAAAGCTGCTTCTACATGAGTTCGATTCCCGCCTGCCCTGGAGGTGACCACATGGTGCGGCAGACCTCTCCTGACCCACCTGCTACTCCCCTCAGCAGTGTACTTCGTTGATCTGCCTGTTCTGTTCCCCACTCTGTCTCTGGTGAAGCCTCTTGCCACCCCTGAGCCTCTGGCCTGTACCCAGTTCTGTATGCACAAATAAATAAAAAAATCTTTAAATAAATAAATAAATAAAAATAAAAGAGAATCATTACTGCAATTTTGCTGATGGAATCATTTGTCATTCTGAAGAGGGAGTAGCATTTAAGCAACACTCACATATAGTATGATAAGAAAAGGGAATTTATTTTTTAGTGTAACGGAGATAGCAGCCCCTGAGGCAAAAAAGGAAGGTATATAAAGTTTGCTACATCCAAAACCCCCTCCCAGAATTTCATACCACCCCTCAACTCATCTAGGGAAGGCTGCTCCATTTAAAAAAAAAAAAAAACTATCATCAATCCCCGAGAGATTGGATTATTTGCATTGTTAAAAAACCATCTCCAGACAAGAGAACACTGGAAAGTGAAGGACCAAATCCTAACAGAGGCATTTCAGACAGGAGGGGAAAGAAATTCAAGGGAGATGATCATTGGAAGTTAGCAGCACTGTGTCCCGACACCAAACAGTTTCATTGTCTCTACCCGGAGACCAAAATGGACATATAACTGAACTACTCCATAACACAAATTGCCAGGCACTTTGTAATCATCAGGAAAATAATTTCCAGGACCTTGAATTAATACTCCTGTATTAGTTTTGTTCTAACTGGTTTAAGATTCTAGAAAAACAAAAGTTGAAGCTCACTTAAAAATAAATACCACGCTAATTTCAACAAGACTTCTCCCTCTAGCCTGCCTACCTCCAAAGCTGAGATTTTTCACTATGCAGACAACAGAACAACATAATATGCAGAATACATGGCAGTGTAATTACTACCACAACCCAGAATGCATGGCAACAGAATGGGTGGGCAGTCGGGCTCACCTAGCCCAAGGACTGGCAAAATCCAGTGCCTCACTGGTAGATTTGATATCACTAAATGATGATCACCTTTGAAATGATTCATTTCACTTCATGGCTAGCACAATTTGTTACCATTTCAAGTCCATAATACCTAAGAGAAGCCAGGAGTCTGAAGTTCCTATTTGCTATGTCAGCATTGGTACCTACTTTTAGAAGCTTCCACCTGAGTGGGGCAGTATCTTCAGACATGCTTACTACTGCTTCCATGTGTTTTGCTCTGCTTTAGGTCACTATCATGAGTTCCTTCCTGAGTGGCAGGGCCACTGTATCTACGCTTTGATTTGTAGAACCTGCCTTCATGAAGGTAGATTCTCACACTCACCTCCTCAGCAGATTACAGTATAACCTGCTGTGCCATGATACACGAACACATCCTCTCTCTCACACGCACGTGCACACGCACACACACAGTTGTCCAGGGCATGTGTCTTTCAGTTCCCTAGCTCTGGTGGATGCTACTCAGATGCTGCCTCGGCCAGGCATGCTCATACTCAGCAAGCCCCTTTCCCCACAGAACATGTGTGCCCTTGGCTTGGTGGAGGGGGGGGACATCTCACTTCCTCATGTCTTAAAACTCCACTTGAGAAGGGTCATTCCTGGATTTAATCCTGGCGCAAGCTGTCTCTCTGGATATCACTCCTGTACTGGCCCAAAGCAGTGAAAGCAGCAAACTGGGATCAAAACAAAGACAAGGGTCTCCTTTCATTCCCACCGAATCGCTGCCTCCTCTCAGTATCGCCAGATCTCTGGTAAATTTGAATCTTGCCACACGTTTCGGAGATTGTTTCTCTCACCTTTCCTAGCTTTCAGGTCTTGCCTGTTCTTATCCCTCATCCTCCCCCAGTGTGAAGACTTTTTAGTTATGAGGAAAGAGTGATTTGGCCTCATACTCACCATCTCATATGCGGAGTCACTCTCACCAGTCTTGGTCTTTCTACTTTCAGAGACTGGGGAAGTGAGTAACTAATCCTAAATATCTAGCAAACACCTTTATTTTAGAGTCCTTTGAGGAGCCCAGTCCCCACTTCCACCCAGACCTCAACTTCCTTTTCTAAGTCAAGCCTGCTCAGCCCCGTCTTCAGAAACAACGTTCCTAGACCGAAGAAATAACTCCCGTCCTGAACGGCGCCTGTGCACCAAGAACAAGCTTTCTCATCCAATACCTGAAAGTAAGCGCCATCATTTCCACCCTCCTGAGCCTGCTTTGCTGTTCGCCCACTTCCCCAAGAATGCTGTTCTCCCTAGACACCTGCTCCCTGGCCATAGCAGCCTAAGCTTCCCAAGTGCTCGCCACGCAGCAGGAACAGTTCTAAATACCTCATAGGTGGGACCTTCTTGACTCCACCTGTGAGGTGACCAATTAAATCTGCCCTGCAAGGTGTATCAGTACCAATAAAAGAATACCCAGCCTCAACAGGTCTTTAACCTGTCTAAAATACAGGTACTCAGGTAGGGCTGATGCCAGGCTGGACACAATGACATTTGGGCCCATAGATGTGAATAAGAACTATGAACCTGTCACATCCTCCTGAATCCTCTCAGCTGGCCGAAGTAATCCCCACAAGTACCCCAACTAAGCTTCTCTGCTTCAAACATTTAAATGGCTTAACCTGTAGGAATGGCATCCTAAAAGCTTGCTGATGCTTCTGGGCACCAACCCCCCACTCCCTTAGTCTGAGACATCAGGCACAGCCCAGAGAGCAGTGTAAGGCCTGGTTGAGCAGACAGCTGAGCAGCTCACCAGTCTGTACATAGACAAGAATCTGCGGCACATGTATGGGTGAGGATTCTAAGGAAATATCACCACCAGACTGTATGATGGGGCACTTACCAAGCTGAGATCCAGGATTTAACTCTCGTTAGCCCGAGCACCCGAATGTGGCTTTACAACAATGAGCTACATTGTCAGTTGAGGCCCCGACTCAGGAACAGCCCACAGGCAGTAAGGACTAAGGGGCAGAACTTCCCAGGCAGTGTTGAAGAAGCAAGCCAAAGGCTCAGGAAGACAGGAGCATTGGTTGTGTGTAGACTTGGGTCTGCTGTCCAAGTCCAATTGTTAATAGTGTTCCCTTTCACTCTCACGGGTCCCAGTTTGGGATAGTGTCCCACCTGCTCATACGCACCCCCACCCCCACCCCCGAGGCTGGGGAGGGCACTACCTTCACTAGGGCTTAAGAGATGCCTGCATGAGGGGAACACCAGACACCCTACAGAGCCCAACCTAGCTGCCCTCTGCAGCCTAGAGATGGGGGTAAATACTGGGGCTCAACTGGGTTCCCTGATCTCAGTGGGAATAAGGGGAGTCAGAATGACAGTGGCAGAGGCCAGTGAGCTGATCGCACTTAACCATTAAAAGACACTCCTTTCTTTCTTTTTTTTTCCTTTTTTTTTTTTGTAGTGCTTGATATTTATTGAAAAGAATGCATATGTTTTTTCCAGGTGGTAGTGAGGAGCTGGGCTGAGTGCCTGTTTTTGTTTGCTTTTAGTATTTTTGTCCAAATGCACACATCTGTGGGAATGCTGAGATTTTGAAATGAAAAGGACAGCTGTGAAAAACTGGTGCCGAGAAGAAAAGAAATGTCAACAGTGTGGCCACCAGGCACCCTGGCCCCGGTAGCGCAGTGGGCCTGGGACAACTCGGGAAGTAGGTGCTGAACTAACCAGGCTGGAAGACAGGTCCTTTGTAGTGGCAAGCTGTCCAAATCAATGTCCCAGGAGGTGGAGCCAAGTCAGAAGTCTGCTAGGTTGGTCCTTACTGCCAAAGATGTGGGCGATCTGTCGCTGGAATCAGGTGGATGGTGAAGTGGCAGCAGAGGTCTCTGGGCAGATGGAGGCCTGGCAGGCACGCGCAGAGCTGTGTGTGTGTCATTCCACTAGTTTGTAAGAGGGGTCCTGTTACAAACTAGGGCTGGGGCTCAGGACAAAGTTCAAATTAGCAGGAGAGGGTCCTGGGAGCAGGCCAGGGGTTGGCAGCAAGGTGCAGAGGGAGTCCCCAGTGCTGGCAGGGTAGTGGAGCGCTATGCTATTCTTGGAACAAAGACAAGCACTACAGGGGCAGGGAGACAGACACAGAAGGCAGAAGGTAGGGAAGGGGGTGGGAGGGAGGGTGAGGGGGCACGCGGCTCGAGCTGGGGAGGGGGGAAGGAGGTGGCAGCGTGCAGGGCCTTCCCCCCAGGCCGAGGGTCTCAGGGCCTAGTAATCATCGTCCTCATCGGTGTCCTCTTCGTCGTCGTCCCAGCCGAAACACTGTTTCATCTCATCAAGGAAAGCCCGGTAATCGCCCAGGATGGGGCTATCCATCTCGATGTAGGGCACCACCCATTCCTCGGCCTCCCCGGTGAGCAGGCTGATGAGGAATGCCACCTTCATGGCGTCGTTGCAGAATCGGTTCTCGTTGACGAGCATGTAAGATGCCGTCTGCACGATAAACTCGGGGAGCCGAGCGCTCTCGCCGTTGAACGTCTCGGGAAAGGGAACCGGACAGCTGGGCGGACGTACCTGGCGCAGCAGGGTGGCCCTCTCGCACACCAGCAGCCGCAGCTGTTCCATGAGCTGGCTGTTCTCGATGCTCAGGGCTCGGTGCCGCATCAGGAGCGCATGCAGCAGTAACACCAGCTCGTCCACCATGGCGAACGGCTTTCTGGCAGGGAAGGGCAGGGCTGGGCTCGGCTCGGCAGGACCAAGGGGCGCGCGGAGGCCCAGCAGGAAGTACGTGTCCGCCGCGGCGCGCGCTGGCCAGGGGCGAAGGGCGCGGCGCGCACGGG